CTTGGGGCTCACTGTCCAGCTACTGTAGCCTAACGGACGACCTGCGGGCCAGTGAAAGACCCTGTTTCAGAAAACAAGATGGATAGGGCCTGAAGTAAGCCACATGAAGGTTGTCTTCTGGCCGCCACATGGATCTGTACATGCATCCATTTGTACATACCTGCATACCTGCAACACAAACATGCACATGCATGGAGACAACCAAAGATAAGAATTATATGGAAGGGTTCATTTTCTTGGACAGTTATTAAATAGATGCTTTCATCTTTTCCTTGAAATGCAGGTGCTTTTTTTCTCTCAGAGGACAAACTTTCATTTCAGAGCAAAGTCATATGTAAAAGAAGTTTAAGGGGCTGGAGGGGGTGACTCAGCAGTTAAGAGGACCCCAGTTCAAGCCCCAGCACTCACATGGTAGCTCACAACCATCTGTAACTCCAATCCCAGGGATCTGATGGCCTCCCTGGGCACCACGAATGTGTGTAGTGCACATATATACATACATGCAGGCAAACCGCCCACGCGCATGAAATTGCAAAACTTAATAAAAATAATTCCAGTTACTTAACTTTAGAACAGAAAAATTACTTCTAGAGCAACCCACGAAAGCTGACTGGGTCTAAGGCATTTTCTTTGGTTATGAATTGGCTGCATTTCCATTTCCATTCAGTTCTGATCTGTCCCCGAGATAGGCAAGGAACCCACGTGGCCTCAGAAATGGACTTTCTCTTTGGAAAACGGATGCTCAGGACATCCAAATAAAACGAGCACCGAGCAGGGCGAAGGTGAGAAGTGGGATGGAGGGGCCCTTCTTCTAGGCAATGGGATGAGTCCATGGAAGTGGTGTTCCTTCTGAGGCAGGCTACTAGAATCCCCCCAGGCTACAAAGAGCCGAGGGGGCTAGAGTTCAGGAGCAAGGAAACAGGCAGCTCTGGCAGAAAATCGGCGAAAGTTACATCAGGGCTCCCTTAGCCTCCTTTTCAGGTTGCATCTGTAAACTGAGGGTAATGATGGTGTTAAGGGCAGATTACTATCTGTGTTGGTATTTAGCACACAGGAAGAGCTCAGGAAGGGACCTGGGGAGGTCGTCAGTTGGCAAAGTGCTTGCTGGGCAAGCATGACGACCTGAGTTCAGATCCCCAGCGTTCACATGAAAGTCTGAGCTTGTGGTGTGTGTCTGTAACCCCAACCTTGGGGTGATGAAGACATGAGAGGCCCTGAGGTTGGATAATCAGCTAATTTACCTCAAATGGGAGCTCTAGGTCCCCTGGGAGACCCTGTCCTGAAAAATAAGATGAGGAGATATTGTTGAAGATTCATGTGACATGGCTGTCACATGAATGTGTATATACATGCAAGTATACCCAGCATCCACCCACAGGGACACACACACACACACACACACACACACAGTGTTTAATAAATGTTAGTGGTTACTAGTGTTGAGGAGAAGAACCCACAAACTGGTCAATCATTTTCATTTGTCCGTAACTCAGGTAGCAATTGCTAATAGAGTCTGTTTGAGGCTAAGGGGATGGGAAGCATAACAGTGGGTAAGGATGTGGCTCCGTGAGGGCGGGAAAAAGAGAACTGTACGGAAAGATTTCATGGCCGACCCAGGAGTTGCATGGCCTCCACTGGAAAGCGGTTGACATATCTTCCACTTGTGAATCTGCTTGCTTCTGCCTTGGGAAAACGGACGGTACAGAGCATGGAGAGGAGACTTCTTGCTGTTGATTTAAACTTGGTACCATGTAAAAGAATCAGGCCTGTTCAAAAGGAGGAGGAGAAATAATCACGTTTAAGAAAGTCTTACCATGGGGTAAGTGCCAAGAATCGGCCATCAAAGCCTAACAGCTTTGTCAGCAACTTACATACTTTGTGCAGCGGTTTGCAGGGTTTCAGGCTCCAGGGGCCGCTGTGCGCAGGCGTTAGGATGACTTTTAGCTTGTTTCGGTTAAAACGATCTGAGGCAATATTTTAATATCAGCTATCCTCTCTCTGATTCTCTTTCTCTTTTCATTAAAAAAAAATTTTTATGTGTATGGATGTTTCGCCTCTATGTGTGTCTGTGAACCACAAGTATGCAATGCCGTGGGGACCAGAGGACGTCAGATCCCCAGGATGGGAGTCACTGATGGTGGTGTACCACCATGTGGGTGCAGGGAATCGAACCCACATCGTCTGGAAGAGCAGCTAGTGTTCTGAACCCATGAGCCATCTCTCTAGCCCTTTGACTCTCATTTTTAAAAAAACTCATATCACTTGGGAGTCAGAGGCAGGTGGGTCTCTGTGAGTTCCAGGCCAGACTGAGCTACATAGAGAGTTTTAGGATAGCTAGGCTTATATAGTGAGATTCTGTCATTAACCAAACAACCAAACACAGGTTGAGTGTATAGGATAATACAGCCTGAATGTAATTACAATGCTGTAGGGGATTGAGTGTCTTGCTCTGCAGGTTGCCTTTAAAAGAGTCTATTTGACTGATTGAGGCCCAGGGGGTGGCTCAGTGGATAAAGGTGCCTCCTACCAAGCCTGGTGATATGAGTTCCATCCCTGTACCCCACTTGATGGGGTATCAATTGATGACAAGCTGTGGTTTGACTTCCATGTTTTCTTTCTTTGGTATGTTTTTTAAATTTAAATTTGTAACAAACTTGCTTTACATGTCCATCCCAGTTCCCTCATTCTCCCCTCCTCCCTGTCCCCCTGACCTCCATGTTCTAACCAGACACACATACAATAAATAAAAGGGTATGTTGGGTGGTGGTGGCGCACGCCTTTAGCCCCGGCACTCGAGAGGCAGAGGCAGGCGGATCTCTGTGAGTTTGAGACCAGCCTGGTCTATAAGAACTAGTTCCAGGACAGCCTCAAAATTACAGAGAAAAGCAGTCTCTTAAAAAAAAAAAAAGTGTAAAGAGTTGATTCCATCTATTGATTGTGGTCTATTATCTATGACTTTATTGTTATCCAATCATTTAAGGTAAAGATGCTTTTTAAAAATAATTTCAGATTCTGGGAATATAATTGTCTAGAGTGTTTGGGGAGTGTGTGTGTGTGTGTGTGTGTGTGTGTGTGACCAGACTCCATTAAAAACAAACATGAACTTGTTGCACTGCTTTAAAGCTTGTAAATATTAACTCCTCTAAGTCTCACCATGTCAATTTATTGTAGGTGCCACCATTCCCTAGAGAGGTTGCTCACAGTCTGCTGGGCTGACTATTTAGCAATACTATCTTTCTGCTCCGGGTGAACCCGGTGGGCTAAGTAATCAAGGTGTTGGGAACATGGCAAGAGGCAAATCTCTAGCCTTCTGCAGTCTGTGGTCTAGCAGCCCCTGCAAACCTGGGTTGTAAATGTCTGTATGTGACCTGGGGCCAGTTAATTTAGTCTGCAGCCGGGGGACTCCTTATCTGTTCGGGTTCCTTATCTGCCCCAGGGAGGAGCTTTTGTTTTAGAGACCTTTCCTCTCCAGGTGGTGTGTGGGCGTGTGTGCTGGGGTTTGGAGGCGAGGGAGCTCAGGTTTGTAGGTACTCCTTTCTCCAAGGTCTCTTGAGGAAACCAGAGACCTTCAGAAGGTCTCATACAAGCCAACCCCTTCAGGGAACAACAGGCTCGGGGTAGTGATGGCTCTCAAGCTTGGCAAAGAGCTTTCCTTAGGGTTAGTTCCGTTTTAGCCAGACCAACAAGGTCTAGAAAAATCAGGTAGGCGAATGCTTAGGAAGCAATGGCAAGGCTTGTACCACAAGGAAGAGAGGGCTGCAGAGGCACAATCCCCCCTCCTCAGGGGAGGGGTTGCTTCTGTACCTGCTCTATTCTGAGAGCAGCCGGGAGGGACTTGCAGAGTTTAAAGGGCAGTAAGCTGGGGTGTGGGACTCAAGGGCAGCCGTCCTGAGGGGAGGAGGGCATCGAGAAAGTAGGGCTATGCCCCTTGCGACCCTGTTGTCTGTCCCCAGGTTTCTTTGGTCACTTGAAAGGACCGGGCTTGGTGCAGAGGCTCTGTTTAGACCCGAGCCCCTTCCTGTTTCTTTCAGGAGACCTCTCTGGTTCAGGTGTTTTAGAATTTATAGGTCTAGATGAGAGGGCTTCCCAGTGCTGAGGATGGAGAACCGTTACCCCTCCAAACACACCCACACACGCACGCGCACACGCGCATACACGCCACCTCCGCTGCTTTGGGCAGCTGCCTCTTCAACCCATGACCTCATGCTTTAAGCTCCCATATAGTCTTTCTCCCGCCGTCCACACCCGGATCCCGAGTGGGGGTGGAGTGGATGGGGGACAGTGACTTATCTCGCGCTAGATTTGGGGAGAAAGAGGCACAATGATCCACACTGCGGAGGGAGAGGATGGTATAACTTTTCTTCGGGGGGAGGAGAGAGAGAAAGAGAGGGAGAGAGAGAGAGAGAGAGAGAGAGAGAGAGAGAGAGAGAGAGAGAGAGAGAGAGAGAGAGAGAGAGAGAGAGAACAAAAAAAAACTACTCGTCCTGGGGATCCTTGAGCACCGATGCCCTGATCTTTGCGCGAGGTAGCTGGTTTAGTTTAACTATCTTTGGTGCACATTTCCTCAGACCAGAAAAGAAACAGGGAGATGCCTGAATACGCCGGGATGTTGGGCTAGGGTCGTGGCACTTGGCCTGATCTGCAGCCCCGGAACTAGCTCTTGTTCGGGTCCATCCCCATCTCCGAGACCAGCGACCCCCGAGGGAGGTTCGAACCCTTGGCTTAGGACTTCGAACCCTTGGCTAGCCTACCAGCCGGCGCCCTGCCCCCTTGCTCGCAGCTGCTCTCGGTTTGGGTGCAGCGGTTTTCCCCCGCAGAGCAGGAGGAGGAGACAAGCCCGAGGAGGGGGAGCGACTCCAGGGCTCGGGTTTCTGCAACCAATGCGGAGCAGCCCCGGGCGGCCCCCCGGCGGCGGGCCCTCCTCCCCGGCACCACGTTCCACAGTCATGGCGCACGGCGAGGGGCGGACGCAGGGCCGCACCCGCGCCCCCTCCTCTCTTCCCTCCCTCCTGCCCGCCTCTCTCCTAGGCAACATCCCTCCCAGGCCCGGTGGAGATGGAGACCTCTCCCCGCCCCCATGGGGCAGAGGATGGAGGCGCGAGCTTCTCCAGAGCCCGCAGATCCTTTCCCGGGAGCACCCCCAGGCCTCACAGAGACCGGGATGCGGTGGTGGTGAGGGTTCGGGGCACAACCCCTTCCTGCAGCCCGCCTGGACCTTGGCATCTTTGCAAATCCTTAAATAAACAACAACAAAAATCTCCCAACCCGAGTCGTTAGATTTGCAACGCGCCTTTTACAATAACCGCGACAGAGACGCAGGAAGCAATCCTGCAACCGGTCCTGGGTGGGAAGGCGGCAGCTTCCCGGCCACCAAGCTGCTCCCTCACCCCTCCCACCCCAAGGGGGCCTCGATTCCCCCACCCCCTCCCCGGATCTGAGGCTCTGCTGCACTCCGGGGACTGACAGGTCCTCGGCTCCTGGTCCGCTCCTCTTGCGTCCAGAGACTCGCCAGCTTACAAAAGGTGCAAGCTCTCGCACACACAACGCAGAGCGCGGAAAAAAAAAAAAAAAAAAAAAAAAAAAAAAGTCGGCGGTGCACCGGCCAGGGGAAGGCTGCGAACAATGCACCCGGCGGCCCGCGCCTGCCGGAGCGCGGCGCCCCGGGGGACAGGGGCGGCGGGCGGGGGCCGCGGCGGAGAACCCGCCGCGCTGGACACCTTACTTCCTGCTTCCCCGCCCGCCGCCAGCCCCAGCTCTGCGGAGGGATATCTTTCCCCTCCTCTGTCCCTCTCCCTCCCTTTACCCGCCTGTCGCCCCCCTTTTTTTTACCCCCCCACTCCACCCCGCCTTTCTCCTTTTGCAAGAAAATAATTTGACAGTCGATTTGCTGACAGGGGAGGAATTTGCATCCTGGATTTAAAAAAAAAAAAAAAAAAAGGCCGAGAGGAGCTTAGGAACGGTTGCTAGGGGTGGGTAATGGGTGAAAGGGGGTGGGTTGGGGTGCTGGGGAGCGGATCCAGAGGGCTCGGGGAGGGGGCCATGCAAAAAAGGTAAGGCCAGGTTAGCGCCGCTCGGCCCTGAGTGGGCTGCGGCCGGGGGAGGGGCGAGAGATACATATGTATTTCTGTCTCCCCAGCACACCCCCTTCCCTCTAAGCGATGGCAGAGAGGCGGTGCATGCAGATGGGGAGTAAGTTTCCTGGAGGGGAGGAGGGTGGATGCACGCGCGCAGCCGGGCGCTGCAAATTTCCACCGGGGAGGGAGAGAGTGGCTGGATGCGGAGAGTTTGGAGTTGGAGGGCAGGGAAGGGAGCAGGGCCTGGGGGCGGGGGGAAAAGAGGGGTGCTGGTGGATACTATATCTGGGAGTAAGTTTCCAAGAACGAGAGAGCCTGCACGCTTGCTTGCTAGCTAGTAAGTTTCTGGCTGGGGAGGGCGCGTGGGGAGGAGAAGGGGGGGTGTGCAAGTATATAGGAGGGGGAGGGGGAGCAGATTTCCTGCGGGGAGGCTGAATGCATATGGAGAGGAGATTTCCTGGAGGGAGGGTTGAGGCGTAGACCGGACCGAGTAAGTTTCTTGCTGGGGTGGTGGCTGGAGGTGGTGAGTTGGTGCTTTGGAAAACCTTGAGCTTCCCATCCGGGACTCGGGGGGAGGGGGACGTGCTGTGGGAAGGAGGGGCGAGGGGCTTAGGTTCCTTGCTTGGGGAGAGGGGCTTGCATCTGGGGAGTATGTTTCCTGGCGGAGCGATATTTGTTTACAGGCTGAGGGCAGTACTGTAAATGAGTAGCTGCGAGAAGGCGGCTGACATAAATTAATATTGAAATTACTCCATCAGCTCGGCTCGTCCCCCATCTCACCCCCCAAGTGGAGATTGGTCGTCTGGTCGGATTGCCCAGGCACTTGTTGCCGAAACAGCCAAGGTAGGCGAGAAGCTTATTAAGTTTCATTTAAAAAATTTAGTTGGGGCGGGGGATGCTCCGTAAGAAGATGGGGGTGGGGTGCGGAGGGAAGCCTGCGGGGGACAGAGAAAGACGAGTCTCCCGCGGCCTCTTTACTTTCAGTACGTTAGCAGGGCCTTTTCCCCGCTTGCCTTCTTCCCGGTTCCCTCTCCCGGCTCACAGCATCCCAGCAAAGGGGGAGGGGTGAGGTGGGCGGTGTAGCTGGCAAACCCCAGCTTAAAGGGTGCCGGTGGTGGGTTTGAAATTGAAGGTTGGTATATTATAAAGCCCTCATTCTTCCAGCCAAGAAACCGCAGGACCCTAGGGATGTGTCTTTTGGGGTTTTTGACATGATGCATATGTGTATATTTGTGAGTCTGCGGGCTCTGTGGGGGCTGGGTAGTCCCAGAAGTAAGCGCGGCCACCCAGGTGGGAGAAGTGGGTAAGAGGCAAACTTGCCCCCTCCCTCCCCAACTTCAGTTTGGGAGTCTGGGAAGTTGCTGCCGGTGAAGAAGCAGAAATTACACACTAGACCACCGTTTCACTAAGGAGGCAGGCAGCCTCTGGCCAGCGCTGGCCTGGAGCATGTGTGCCTGCCATCCTTGGCTTCCCTGTGCCTTTTCGCTGGACGGTTAGATCCGCTTGCTGTCAAACTTTCCCCAGACAAATGTTGCTTTGGCACGTGAAGGGTTGTGTTGCTGTGAGGGCTTGGTCTTTCATGGCCTTGGACTTTTCTTGTGAAATGTGTGCTCAGGAATTGACCAGTCCAGGCATGGCCTGGTTGAGGCAGTTTGGCTGGTCTTTTCCTCAGGCAATAGAGATGATTTGTTATTTTTTAAAGAAAGGAGTTTTAGGTGGTCTCGGTTGTCGTCAGTCTTCTGCAGCATTTGTAACCTTTCCTGCAGGAGTCCTGTGTAGGAGTCCTGTGTGGAAGTGTATGAGCTCTGGCCCCCTAGGACCAGGTGCTGGAGATCCAGCACTTAGCTAGTTAAAGCAGCCGTCTCTTGCTGGCTTGGCACCCAGCCCATTGGTTCCTACAGATACTTTTTCTTCCATGGGTGCTGGTGCTGGGTGTTGAACTTGGCCAGGATAATTTGAGCAGGGAGGGAGGTGGTCTGGTCAGGAACTGGTTAGGAGGGTTAAGGTATAACCGACCACACTGGGGGTAAACTAAAGTTGGTTAAGCCTTCCCTAGTTATGTAAACAGGTTTTGATTCTAGTAGAGAAAAATGGGTTAAAAAACAAAACGCCTCTTCATGGGTTTTCTTTTTTCCTTCCTACCCTCAGACTTCGGGATTGAGGGTTTGCTATTTGGCAGTTTGAGACTGAGTTAGTGCTACCTATCACATGTTCTCAACGAGGCATTAGCTAAACAAATTAGCTGTTATCCTTAACCCCATGATCCTCATTGGTGTCTGTGCAGGTAGAGTAAATAAGAATTCCTCGTGTGTATTTGTTCCAGGGTGGAATTATTTACACGTCTAACCTGGAAGCCAAGAGCCGTCATTCAGGCCCTTTTAAAAAATTTTTTCTCTTAACATTCATAGAATTTATTTTATTGTCTTGCTTTGACCATTAATCAAGTCACAGTAGCCCCCCCCCCAATTCAACTGAGAATGTTCTCCTGATAATAAAGGATTGAGGGCCCAAGAATCATAATTCATTCTCTTTAAAATATTGTGATGAGTGTCAGGATTTGATTTACAGGAATTGATACCCGGAGTGACACACCCCTTTGGGCCCCGCCCTTTTAGACATGTCCATTTTTGCCAACTGATTGTTTAGAAGACAGCTTGGAGGAGGGAGGGAGAGAGAGAGAGAGAGAGAGAGAGAGAGAGAGAGAGAGAGAGAGAGAGAAGAGGGAACCTTTGCCTTATGCATTATAAGCATGGAGAAAATTAATTTTGCAAGTTCCAGAGTGAATGTGGGTCTTTTCACAGCTTGGTAAGCAGGCGTCCACATGGCAGGCGTGTGTTAATATCAGAGAGCATTTCCACGAGCTTGCTGTGAAAACAGTCACTGAGCAGTGCTGAACGCTCTCTGTTAACTGGCTTGGGCCTGTGGTTTTTCAGAGTTTAAATTATAGAGAGGGGACAGGGTGCCGTGCTCTGGGCTGCATTTGTAAATGTGTGGGCACGAAAACAAAGCTCATTTAGAATTTTTTTCCCTTTCTTGATGGATAGTTTGATCGTAAGAACACAAAAGTGTTGGCTTTTTTTCGGGGGGGGGGGGCTAGAATGTTCCAAGTAGTTGATGGGGTGAGAAGTGCAAAACTATGCATTTAGTAGTTGGTTCAAGTTTGTGGGCATTCCTAAAGTGGCTTCCAAGGTGGCTGGATGGATGCTCAGGGCAGGGGCAGGGTATCAGTTTCTAGCTGTTTCTGCATTTGGGGGTTATTATTAATATTTTCAAAAGGCTAACTCTTTGGGTTCCGGCTTCAAACTTGTGTTATATGGAGTGAGGGCCCAGAGAACTCTTGACACTGTCTTCCTGGGCCAACGGCCAAATTGCTTCATGGACTCAGGGCGAGTTGATTAACTTCTGTTTTTTGTCTTCTAATGGAGAAATGGATTTGTACGTTGGCATTCCACAAAAACCCTCGAGCAGCCTGGCAACCGTGCCATCACACGCCAGCCATCACTTAGGGCCTGCCACGGCTGTGGAGTCATTCGTTCAATCGCTGTGCAGATTTATTTTCGAAACCTTTAAATTGTGTGCATGCGCATGAGACTGCGTGCGAGTATGTGTACCTGGGTGTCGATGCCTGCAGAGGCCAGAGGTGTCCGGTCTCCTGGAGCTGGAGTTACAGGCAGGGGTAAACCTCCTGTTGTGGCGTGCTGGAATTAAACTCAGGTTGTCTGGAAGAGCCTGGTGAGCCACCTCTCTAACCGTGTTGTGGATACATTTTTAAACAATCCTAATTATGTGTGCTAATGGCGAGGGAGCTTGTACTTTCAGGCACCCAAAATAATTTTAGTTCATCAGAGAAGTTCCCTCTCCAGCCAGCTGGCTGCATGATCTAATGCTTAGTCAAGCTGGGGTTAATTAAGCTGTTGTCCCCAGGCAGCAGGTAGCTTCAGGGAGGAGAAGGGGACCCAAAAGTTCAGTGTGGACTTGCCCACTGTGAAGAAGTCACGTGTGGGATATTGCGATTTGTCTGAGCAGTGACAGGGTTCTTATGTATGGTCGCTTCAGATGCTTTATGCCACAATGACATTTTGGGAGAAAGCGCTTGATGCTGTTACTGACTTTGGATACTGATACCTATGCCCATGTGCACGTATGGGTACACACACACACACACACACACACACACACACGCACGCACGCACGCACGCACGCACACAGATCCAGACAGGTGCTCTAGACCCCAGGCTGCATAAGAGGTTGTTCTGTCCCAAGGGCAGTGGACCTCAGCTCATTTCTGAACTCAGAAAACTGTGGCTGAGCAGGGAAGAGGGCTACAATCTCCATGAATCTTGTGGGCTAACTGTATTTTTAGATTTTCACATTGATGATACTAAAATGTAATTGAGATTTTTTTCTTCTAGGACAGGGACTAAAAGCAGCCAGATTGCAGTTACTGGCATGCTTTTTAGGGTGGTGTGTGTGAGTGTGTTTGTGTACATATGCGCGAGTGTGTGTGCGCGCGTGTGTGTGTGTGCGCGCGCGTGCAGCTGTGTGCGTGAGCAGACCATTGGTCAGTGTGAGATACGTGTCTTCCTTGGTTGCTCTGTCCCCTTATTTACTTATCTAACTTCATTTATTTGTGTCTTTGTGTACTGCTGCTTGTGTGTGGAGGTCAGAGGGCAACACGTGGGGGCAGGTCCTTGGCTTCCATTTCGTGGTTTCTGAAGACCGTCAGGCTTGGTGCATGCGCCCTTCCCTAGTCAGCCCTCTCTCTCTCTAGCCCTTTCGCCTTAATTTTTGAAACAGAATTTCTCGCTGACCCGGGAGCTCATTCCTTCAGTGGCTGGCCAGTGAGCTCGGGAACCCATCTTCCCGTGCCGGGATTACAGCCACCCACAGTCATGCTTCATTTTTCTCTTCTTCTTTTTTTAGGTAGGCGCTGGATCTGAACTCATGCCCTCACGCTTGTGCTGCAGTCACTTTACCTGCTGAGCCAGCCCCCAGCCCTGCATTCTAATAACTAGTCCAGTCTTTATGTGTGAGTTGCTCCATGTCTCTCCCTTTTGAGTTAAAGGACAAACACAACCACCAAACCCCCCTGTGATGTTTTCTAAGAAATTCAAATGCTCCAAAGTAACTGCCAACAGTAATTTGGACCGAGGAAATGGATATTTGGGTTTGTTTGCTTGTTTCCTCAGAGAGGACAATAAACTAGGAGTAGTGTGTGGGCACACCGGGCTGCTGACACTGAAAACATGTTTAGGAGAAGGGGAGAAGAAAAAACATTTGGGTCTAAATGGCTATAAAAGCTTTGAGGTTCACACAACAGTGGTAGCATTTTTATTATTATTTCTGCCTTGAGAAGCCCTGGTTTTCTTTACACATTTATCAGTGGCTTTTTGTATTTTAAAGGTCTGTTTGTTTTTGTGTCCATGAGCATGTGCATTTGTGCATCTGGTGCGTGCTTGGTGCCCTCAGCGGCCAGGAGAGGGCATTGGATCCCCTGGAACTGGAGTTGTGGGTGGTTGTGAGTTACCATGTGGGTGCTGAAATTGAACTCGGGCCCTCTGCAAGAGCGACCAGTGCTCTTAACTTTATTAAGCCCATGCTGTTTGCCCTCATGAGACTGGGAATCTTGGTGATTAGAAGACATGATTCTCTCTCTGCCCACACTCATTCACACCCTGACTGTGTTGGGGGGGGGTGGCATGGGCAGAGGGGGAGTCACACAGATGCTGTGAGCTGTGATAAATGCTCTGGTGAAGTGTTGATCTGGACAGAGACCTAATGCAGCTTCCTTGAGGAGTAGGTGGCCGAAAACAGGGGTCAGGCAGAGGAACGTCTGTGTGCGC